AATTGGGCTGCCTCCGCGCTCTCAGCACTGGCCCGGCTCCTAGCGCTTACCGGACTCTCTACACGTGAGGTTCTGGATCCGCCTCCGCTCCTGCCACTCCGCCTAATATTGGCCTCCATTGCCCTCAGGAATCCCGGATTCGGAGGTCCATTTGCGGGTGACCCCGCGTTGGCGGCAGGAGCCGCTTCGGCGGGTGGCCCCGCTGTGGCGGCGGGAGTCGCTTCGGCGGGTGACCCCGCTGCTGGGGGCCCCTGTGCTCGAAGCGTAGGCAGGATCGGCATCTGGATGCCTTGCTCTGGCGCTGCGGCTCGAGCCTCTAGCGCCTCCACTGCTTCCCGCAGCCGACGCAGTTCCCGAGCATCCACCACGTATCTTTCCTGCTGGCGCGCCTGTTCCGACTCAGCGTCGCGCTGTCCAGCATGCGGAAAATGTGCTGTGATTATGCCCGGCCCACGACATACAGCGCAGGGTGCCTCGTTTGGCGCACCTGGCCGCTGATTGCGGACGTGCTGCTGTGCAACACGATCCAGCATATATCGTGGAAGAAGTGCCCGCACGCCAGTCTCCACACCGTGGTGCCCATCTCGTAGGGGTCCATACAGATTGGGCACTGTGTGAAGTTGTAGTCTGAAATGACTGGAGTAGGCACGACAGGGCGTGTCCGAGCCTGACGCTCGAAGGTAGTTTCACCCTCCCGATATGGCGTCGGTGGTGGCAGTCTATCTGTCTGTTCAGCGGGTGGCCCCGCGCCTGCGGGTGTCCCCGATTGGTTATCACGCTCGATCCTTCTCTGGATCGCGCGCTGTTGGCGCAGCCTAGCGTTGTCCCGAGCCTGCTGCCTAGATGCCAGTATCGCTTGCTGCGTGTTGTGCACGTCGCGGATGTAGTCTGGCATGCTGCCATAGCGGCTGGCACCGCGAGACCAGCTGGCTGAACTACGGTCTCGGGGTCCGTCGGCGTGGGCATGTAGGCGTAGTGCGGCATAGACTGCGCATCGACTGCTCGTGTATACTGCAAACGAAACATCTCATTGGCCAGATTTCGAGTGTATTCGTTTGCAGGTGGCCCCGCAATCATAGGAGTGTTATTCACCTGCGCGTAATACTCCGGGTACATCGGCGCATCCATGGCCTGTGCCTCTGCTGGTCCATGATTATCCCATCCATATATTGGGTGTGATGCTATTCCTGGAATAAACACCTGTCGATATGGATTCGCGGGATCAGCATTCGGAGCGTCATCAGAAGTCCAGCTCCAGAGAGGCCGAAAGTCGCCATGATTCGTAACATCTATGTTGCGGTTCCGCAACAGGCTGGGCACTCTATCAGCTTGTTGCTGCAGAAAGGTAGCCTGTGCTCTTAAGTTGGCTGCCCGACGTTCATAGTCTGACCTTTGCTGTCCGTCAGCGGGTGGCCCCGCGTGTGCGGGTGGCTCCGCAGGCGTTCGCTCGGCGGGTGTCCCCGCAGCCACTCCTCCTTCACTACCCCTCGGAGTTCCAAAGGGAGTGGTCGCCTGGAGTGCTGCTGCGAGCGCCGGATTTCCGCGAATCGCCTGGAGTCGTTGCCACAGGCTGTTCTCACTCGTTTCAGACGGCGGAGTCCGAAACGGCGAGCCACCATCTGAGCCGCCCATAGGAGCAAACCTCGCAACTCCAGCTTGCTGTGGAGGGCGTTGTGGTTGTGGTCCTAGGATGCCTGGTGGCCCCGTAGGAGGGCGCAGGTTCCTCTGCTGTGCATCTTGGATGCCTGCATGCACCGCCCACGGGTCAGCACGGTATAGCTGATCGGTCAGTCCAGAAACGTCGGCTGATGTCAAATGGCTGTTGAGAGCTTGGACCCAGGACTGCTGGTCCGGCCTCCAAGGAGATGCTACCGTCGCCACCGGTGTGACTACTTGCTGCCATGAACCGTCCGAGGTGCCTACCGCGGGTGTCCCCGCTCCTGCGGGTGGCCCCGCCCCAGGCATGACCTCGTCCTCCTGGGCATTCATCATGAGGACTGTCTGTGTGTCGTACGGTCGTGGAGCAACATCTTGCTCGGTCATGACCAAATTGAATGGGCGACCGTCCGTCTTAGCCCAGCCCTTGAGGTACATGGCATGATCTTCCATGACCGCCACAGTTCTGTCACACATTTTAAGTGGCAGGTAGTCATCAGTGCGAATCCTGTCCGCGGGTTGGCCCCGCCTCCGCGTCTTGTCATAAAACAGCGGATTGGTCCAGGCTTCGCCGACCCGATACTTCGCAATGCTCACTATCTGGAGAATATGATCAGGCGGTATACGTCCATCGTGGCCCCGTGTCATGACTATGTCATTTGCTGATCTCCATAGAGAGAAGCCACTGGACAGCATCTTGTTGATACTGCAGAATATGAGCACCTCCGAGTCAGGACGGATGCCCGATTGAATCCTCGGGTCGCCCGGGAGGTAGGGGCAGCCATGCACAAATTGGCGCCCCCCCTTCCTCTTCGGGTTGTCCTGTGCGAGGCATGACAGGCCAGTAGCAAGGATGTCCTTGACATACTCCCACTGCGTCCCGTGGATGAAATATACTGGGTCGTCTGGTTCTTTCATCCATGTTGTGATCGGCTTGTACAGCGACTCGGGACAGTGGATGCCTGGACTGCTGTGGCCGTTCGTGGCTCTGATGAAGTACTGTGGCCTGCGTGCCGTTGGTCGAAACCTGGGAGGTAGCAGCATACTGTCATCAACGCACTTCATCTGGAGCCTGCCCTTCTGCATGCCGTGATGGTCAACCATCTCACAGCAGTTTAGCAGCACCCAATACACGAATGACGGGTGGGGCCTGCCTTTGATCAGCACCTCGTGCATTTCACGATAGTGCTTATACTGATCATTTTCAGTCCAGTTTGTCAGCAGATCATCAACGACAACCCAGCCGTCGTATGGATCAAAAGTGCTGACCTTTTCGAAGTGTCGATTATGTTTGTCCTTGTAATACGGACTGTGGCGTAGAGCCGTTGAAAACCACATCGACACCTTGGTCATCTGCTCTTTACTCGGCAAGGTTGGATCCATGCCGTTCTGTGTCATGACCTTCAGGAGTGCTTCTTTATGCTGCGCAGCGCGTAGTGGCGGCCTGTCTCGCAGCATGTTTCCCACTTTCTGTTGTTCGCGCTCCCAGTCGTTATGGCACTTGAAATTACGACGAACCGGACAATTAATGACGTCATATCGGTCCGTGTCGTCTGGAGTGACTCGTGGGTTGATGGGCTGCCTCGGGCCTTTGTCTACAATGCCTTGCCAATACAACTTGCATTCCAAAGGAATGACCCTCAGAGCAGACATTGTTGGCTGCCATTGTGCGGGTGGCCCCGCTAATGCAGCCGGCGGCGCCTTGACGGGTGGCCCCGCTAATGCAGCTGGCGCCGCTTTAATGGGTGGCCCTGCAGAACCTGCGGCTGACGAGGCAGCTCCTGCAGATGACTCCGCGCCAGGGTTCGGGCGACCTTTGTCAGCAGCTGCATCATCAGTCAGTTTCTGTTGGTCGCCAAACTCTTTGAGGACTCTGAAGCGTTCTTCTCTGGAGAGAGTGCCTTCTGCAGGTGTCCCCGCTGTTACGGCTGGCGCCGCTTTAGCGGGTGGCCCCGCAGAGCCCTTGTCCTCCTTAGCCTTGGCGGCCGCTTCTGCCCGCACCGACCTCATCCCAGCTTCGGGCTTCGGCTGCGCTTTCATTCGTGCCGAACCTGGTCGTGGTGCAAGGCGTGGCTGATGCAGTGTTGGAGTCCAGTCACCTCGGAATGCTGCCTTAGGCTTGTCGCGAGCTTCGTCCTTGACATCGCCTTGGGTCGCCGGCGGCATTGGGGTCGATGGTCCAGCAAAAACCTTCTTCCTCTCTGTCACGGACGGACCGGGAGGAGCTGCCGTCTTAGGATCGTCTGTCTTGGCAG